AAGTTGGCTATACAAGATGAGAATAATGTATTGATTTTCTTACTGTTATTACAGCGATCCTCGTTTCGACCTAGGTCTATTTTTCATTACGAAGTCCAACTGGCTAACCTACCACTACATGGTTCCCTGGGATTGGAAGAATGGCGAATTCGGTACATACAACAAAGGCTGCAGCACATTCTTCATAAAAATGTGGAACGAACTCGGATTCGTCGATCACTTGCTATCAGTGACCACACACGACTTGAGAGCAATTCTTCACGATGTAACAAACAAGAAAACATCATTGCAGGAAGGACTGGATGAGTTGAAGAAAATTTCTCAGTATAAAGCTGCCAAAGACCATCTTAAATTCCAGTTGTAGAAATAATATTCCTAATATGATTTGTTGAAGTTTAAAATTTCAAATATCATCTCTCACATTATATACAATGATTAATTATGTTATTAAATTGTATTAATCCCTGTTCTACTAGTCTTGAAACTGATCAAGCTCGTCCATAAACATAGCTAGCACAGAACAATTGTTTTAAACGTCGATCAGTTACTTACGTGTATGTTGTTCTTAAAACAAAATAAAGTTAAGTACGCGTTTAACACTAACTGCACCGCAAATCGGTCAAATGACCGGGTTTTAAATTTTATTGTAAATTATACGTTTTCGTTTGTTCATTTAATTTGATATCAATTCCTGTACTGCGTGATTAATAGATTTTTCGATGTTTGTCTTTCTGTTTGTTTCTATTTCCACTTGGAAAAATCGAATTTTATTTCGTAGTCAGTTATTTGACTGGTTACAGTAGGAATGGATATATACAAACTGTCGGTACGGTTAGTGTTGATATTCCTCAATACATATAATATACCTCAAATGCAATAAGAAATAGAAATTAATTTATTATCAGTTTACGAATGATAATTATCTTTTCCAAGCAACGAGAAAGGCTATCAACGCTTAAGGTATACCATTGGAATGACTCATCAACAGTTCTGAAAGTGACCTTTGGAAGGTCGAACTTTTGGAATAACCTTTAATCCTATAACCCTGACTCGATTACTGTAGATCCATATCTATACATCTTTTCTTTTCTTTTCTCTTAATTTAGAATCGTGATTCTTTTTTCACAGTAATTAGTATTTCGAAACCTAAAGATTATTATTCCAATCGTATGAAAAATAATACAACAAAGAAAGTTTATTATTACAAAAATTATAATTACATTGCTCTAAATCATAATTAATGTAGTTTAATTTATACTTCTAAAAAATGTGTTCCTATATATTTTCGCCTATCCATATATATTCGACAATTGTAGAACACAACCGACTAAACGATATCACTTATTTCGCTATGAACAAATTTTATTTATGTCATGAAAAAGGAAACAAAGGAACGAGGAAAGTATTCAGTTCGTACCGTGCTGTACCTTTATTTGAAAGAAAATAATCAAACACATGCAGTTTACAAATTTCCCTGAACACGAGAGCAAAGCGAACAAGAAACGGATTTACCAACTTAAGATCAATGGAAAATTCAAATTATGGCAGAAAGGGAATCAAACCACCCCTGTACGATCTTGTAACAAAACAGAATATATTTGTATCTTTATCCTGGTAACAGCACACTTTTCTTTAATGTTAATATTAATCCTTAGAGCTAGTCGTGAAAGTTTATCGAGTCCCACACTGTTTTACACCGCAAACAGACACATATATATATATATATATATATTTTTTTTTTATGTATATAATTTTTCTTAGAAAAAGTGGATGTGTGTGCTGTGCGTTTTCTATGTGTGTACGCATTACCCATTGAGAAATTCCACGGACGCGTGAAAATAGGGTAAAAAAGGATGGCAGTCAGTGGAATTCGAATAACCCCTTGCCATACAATATGGTATTAAACTCAGGAGGAAGATATCAAACAAAAATTATAAAAAGCAAATGACACTACATTTTTTAGAGTTTAAATTGAACTTTACTTTTTTGTTGAAAAAAAAACTTGGAAACCATTAATAAGTAAACATGGATATAGATGAATATAGAATACTCTTTTTTATGCGGTTAATTATTAATACTAGAAATACCGAGCAATCAAATTGCCTGATTGAAAAGGCATTTCTTAAAATTTCGATTGATATATTAATGCACACTTTAGAATGCAAATTAGTGAACCAAGTTATAAAAAGATTTCTGAGAAAAGTGTGCCTGTCTTTTTGAAAATTGTAAAAATAGAAGTTCAAGATAGGATATTTTGACCTGTTCGGTAATTCTGGCGTTAATGACGACGTAATTCTAGGAAGTGCAGTTACAACAGAAATTATAAGGCAAGGGATTAAAGCATTCAACACCTCCGCGTCGACATTGTACGTTCTGAATCGCCACGAAATGACCGAAAACGCCCCGCATTTCCGGTGTGTCGTCCACTCGTAAGCCACGACGCGAAAATCATACGTTCGGTGTATGGCATTCCGCACTCACGCAATTCGGGACAAAAACTAAAGAGGAGAGAAGACATCAATTTCTATGGAAGTAATAAAAATTGCAAGGGAATTAGTTTAAAGAGGACAAATGGTTTCCATTCATTCAATTCCAGGCCTACCTGGAAACGAAAGTTTCTCGTCCGATGTAATCAGTTTTACTGGAATGAAATTACAGTGACGAGTAGGAAGGAAATAATTCTAAAAGAAAGGTGATTAACACCTTCCGTTTTGTGGTTTTGTTTCATCGTGGCAAGGACGGAGATATAGAAGTCTGTTTTATCGAAGTATTTGAAAATATTACGTCAACTATGCTTATATTATGGAAATTAGGACGAGGACTCTGAAAGCTGTAGTAATACTTTCGAAAGCTTCTGAGCATTCCCTTTTTCATCTGTCCACGGAACACAAATTTATTGATACATGTTTATTTATAGTTAACATATAGAAATAATAAAGAAGGTATTTAGCTTGTAAAAATTTAATTGAACTCCGAAGATCGTAGTAGAGATTGTTCAGAAGAATCAACTAAAAAGTAATTTGAAGTTACACGGCATCTCCAGTCTATTCGTGTACGCGGTAGTATTTTCGATAAATTAAACTTAAAATTAAGATCTATCGAAGTTGACATTATCAATGTTTACAAAAATAGTCGGCACATTATTCATTGAATGCAGTCGCTATATACATCTTCGAACTCATCTTAGAAAACGTAACAAATAGGCAATAATTCAAATACACAGTGCCATTTTAGAAAATTACTGAAATCTCTTGAAATAAGAATGTAAAAAGATCGAAATGTTTTATTAAGTTTCCTCCATCGTTGCGAATAACTTTCATTTGAAACATTTTTTCGTATTCTCAATAATCACGGAGATATATGCGCGTACACGAATAAACCAAACGTACAGCATACTTTTATTTGATTCAAATAGTCTTGAAAAATCGCTTAATTCTCTATTAATAGTTTCGATTAAGACGTTGCGCCGATCAAAAGCGTATTAATAGGGTTAGCAGAAAGTGTACAATAGTTTTCGTTCTTTTTATAATAATCATGATTTTTTTTCGCATTTTATGGTTCAGCAAGGTGGTATATTGCAAATGATGATACAAATCACATGTGTAAATCGCTACTACA